GAAGCCCCCACTGAAGCCCCCACCGAAGCCCCCACTGAAGACCCAACGACTACAGCGGCACCAGAGGAAGGTCGTCGCCTTCAGTCGTCCAACGATTTAGCCAGCACGATGCAGCACATCGACGAGTGTGCCGTTGGGGTGTGCAAGGCGTCGGCGGACGCCGCGTTTGCCGACGACGTTTGCGGCAATCAGACGTTTTCGTACATCCACCAGTGCCCGGACACGTCGTGCTTGGATACGATCGTGGCCAACGTCAACAAGTGTGTGACGTGGGGCGACTTTGTCGCTTGTGCCAGCGACAATTGCTTTGGCTCGCCGGATCAAGGCAACAATACTAGTCCTTCGGGGGGTAGTTACTATGGCAACGCAACTGATGGCTACTACGGCAACCAAACTGGTGGCTACAACGGGTGGCCCAACACGACCGGCTACGTCGGTAATAATGGTACGAGCTACCCGCCCAACAACGCCGGAAGTACCAACTACCCAGGAAGCACCGGGTACGCTGGAAGTGGCTCGTACTCTGGTGGAGAAAACAGCGGTTCCTCTAACGGCAACAACGATGGGGGCGACTTTACGACCATTTTGGCACAGCTTCAAAACTGCACCACGGGCATTTGCATGGACGAAGCCGTGAATGCGACGGGCGACATGGGTTGTGGCGCCGCGGAAATTTCGAATTTGTTGGCGTGTACCGATGGTCTGTGCCTTGATAATATTGTCAAGGCGTCGACTTGCGAGTCGTTCCGCGATTATGTCGAGTGTGTGAGTACCAAATGCTTTCGCGATGATAAGGGGGGTGGTGGCAACAGCGGGAGCTCCACGGGCACCCCCGACGCCAACTCGTGCCCAGCCCACTTGGTGTCGTACTGCACGGCCAATCCGGATGACGCATCGTGCGCGCTGCCGTGCCCGTTTAACTGTTATTTGCAGCCCAACTGCCCGTGCCAGGAGGATGCGTGCACGGCGACGGCCAGCGCGCCCTTCTGCGTGCGTGAAGACGGCGTGTGTTCTCAGTTCAAATGTAACTTTTCATCAACCCTCAAGTACACCTTGTGATGACTTTTGCTTTGTGTAGCTGCGCTGGCCAAAGCCAAATTCAGCCATGGGGCGTTCAACCCATCACAGGAGTGGCAGCGGCAGCAAGTGGCGCAGTACCTCGTGCCCCCCACCCCATACGACCCCACGAACGACACGTCTCTAAGCCAACTGTGGCAACAATGCAACCAAGCGTGGCCCCAACTGGCCGACAATATTGCTTCGTGTCTCAACACGTCTATCACGTACTGCAACAAAGTGGGATGGGACCAGGTACTGTATACCAAGTTTCGCAGCAACGACGGCAGCAACCATCTTATGGATGTGTATGTAGGCTTGCAGTCCGGGCGAAGGGGCAACGGGCGTGTCCGAGTGCGGCGACGGATTTGTCACATTCGGCGAAACGTACGACAGTCGTTTTGTCACTCGTCTTGACCAACAGTATCTCAAGTATTGTGGTCATGTACTGTATGTAGGTGTGACGATGGCAACAACGTGGGCAGCGATGGGTGCAGCAGCATGTGTCAGACCGAAGACACGAGCCAGTATTCGTGCTTGGAACAGGGCAAGCCGTGTTTTGCATGCACGCGCCCTTATGTTCAATACGGATCCAACGGCCAGCCGCTGCCCGGACAGTTCTGCACCAACGACCGCCTCGTAATCGACAACGAGACGGTGCCCCAGAGCTCGCCTATCTACTACCCGAGCTGCGCGTCGATCACGAGCATCGACGACGCGATTGACTGCGACGTGTACGCCAACACATTTTGTGCCAACTTGACGCTGCAAGGCACGAGCGACCCTGCGTGCCAACCCTATGTGAACCTCACGCGCAAGTACACGGTACCGACGGTGGCGCAGTCGTGCGAGTATCAAGTCAAGGAGATTGACATTGGCACCCAAGGAATGACCTCGGCCAAGGTTGGTTTGCGATGGAGCCTTGGGTTCGGACTGATGGTGCTTCTTTGTTGTGATACATAGATTGCGGTCTTGACGTGCAAGTTCCAAGACCCATTCGGACTCTTGTCTGCGGAAGACGCGACGCCCATCTATAAATTCAGAAACCCGTTCACGTCCTTGTCGAAATCGTGGAAAGACAAGATCACGGCGAATGCGACCGTGTCAGCCATCATGAACACCATCTACGGCACTCGAAACGACATGTTTGTACGTCTATTCTTTTATATATATATATACTTCCATCAGTTCTTATACAAACGTATACCTGGTACCATTGTGTAGTACTCGCTCAAAGACCTCCGGCTCACCGACTTTTTCCAGTACGCGTTTCCCGAGTTCAACATGGTTCGTACGATATTCCAGTTTGAGATAGATTGCCATCGGGTTGATCTGATAATGTATATCGTGACTTGTAGAAAGACGGTCAAATACCCTTCAACCAGCCGTCGTTGGCTCGACTCACGTACTACCTCCCGAACGCGACCGTACGAAACTCTTTGTCCACTCACACTATCCCCTGACAAACTTCGTTTTGACGTTAGATTGACCCCCAAGGCCAAATCGACGAGTTTGGCAACAACCCCAACTGCTGGGCCTCGGATGGGTACGGCAGTATGGACGTGATCCCGTTGCCGCCGACGACCGAGCCGACCAAATGGGCGATGAAAGCCATCCTCATGCGGTTCCGGTACGAAGCGCTCAACTGGAACGACTGGAGCAAGAAGGAATTTGCCAACTTCAACGCGTGGGACATCGACGGCGGCAGCGTCTACCAGGACGCGACGCTCAACTTTGGCGTGCTCCTCAGCACGAGCAGCAAGGACGGCAACGGCAAAATCCAAGAAAACGTCCAGCGCACGTGCTCGGACGTACGTAATCGCTTTGGTTGTCTGGCTTTGTTTGTTATTGGGATATTGTGGTCAGTCCCATACCGATCGCAAGGAGAATGCTGTACCATATCCCATGTGATTCATGGGGAGACATATCGTCATGTGTCGTATATGTCGAATTGGGACTTCTGCGGCATTGGTGTAAAGCCAACTCACGGGGCCCCGTCTTGTCGTGTAGTGGAATGTGCCGTGGCAAGACCAGGCGACGAGTCCGCTGTGTACGACCATCGAGCAAGCGCTGGTGGACGGCCGGGCGTTCCTGAAATTTGACCAGCAACTGTTCCAGGTCGATCAACGACCGTTCATCTAACGCAGGCCCCACGCTGACTTGTGGATGCGTAGAAAGGATGCGCGAGCGAACAGTGCGAGTACAAGGTGGACCACTGCCGCCGCGTGCCCCTGACCAAGCGCACGCTCGTGGTGGACAAGACGCGCTTCGTGGAGTCGGCCGCGACCGTCGTGGCGCTGGCGAGCTCGATTGACCAGGCAAAGACGTGGGAGGACCTGGTGGGGAACACGGTCAAAGTGGCGGTGGAAGCCGCGAGTGAGTCGTTCACGGACCCCGTGAGCTTGTTTTGGTCGCTTGTGGTCAAGGGCAAGCAGACCAAGTTTCTCAAGAACGTGCCCAACTACTGCAAATTCGACTATTACAACGACACGTCGTACTCGACCGTGTACGTCCTTTCAACACGACCAGTAATGCTAGGCATAGATATGTGACGACGACTGACGTAGCAACCCTAAGTGGAAGGCGGACCCGTGCTGCAACTGGGAGATGCGACAGTACTTGTGCTGCACGCCGCAGGACATTCCCAACGGCGAGATCGACGTCGTCCTCTCCACAGCGGACACGGAAATCAGTACCCACTGCCCGGGCGTCGGCGCCCAGATCCGCGACGTCGTGCAGTCTACAATGAAGGCGCTGCAGCGCGCCGACAGCTGCTCGGCCGACTTGGACAGCAGCACCGGCTACGACTCGTGGAAAACCATGTCCGCCGTGTCTGACACATGTCGCACCACGATCCAAAAGGCTGGCTCCGTCGACTGTAAAAAAGACAGCGACTGCTCTGTGTGTAGCCAAAGCACGTGCCAGCGCGACAAGGGGGTTCGTACAGTCCACCACCCCGTTTCATGCAACTAATAGTATACTGTAGGCAAAAGAAGGGGCGGGCAAGTGCACTGTGCCGTGGGACGACATGGAAGGATGCACGTTAGAATGCTACCAAAAGACCATGGACAGCGAGCTGCTTCGGTATTTGTACGACCAGTGGGACTTGAGTGTGACCGCGACCGTGGACGAGAAGAAGGCCAAGTTTACGGAAATGATGAGCGAGCCAACGTGCTCGGGGCCCCAAGCGTGGATGCCGGACATTGGGTACAACGGGTGGACGTGGCAGATGAACACGACGTGTCAGAAGGAGCACATTTGCGACGACTACGACTACCAAAACTACCTCCAGAACGTGGCCAACCAGCAGCAAAGCGGCGGGTACTACAGCTACTCGTGGCTCGACTTTCGAAACAACGACACATGTGCGCTGTACAACGGCACGACTACATGCACGTCCTTTCGTCCGGACGGCGAATGCTACGACTGGGGGTACCAGTGCACGTTTGACCAAGTGCGCGGGCCGTGCAAAGACGTCAACCAGTGCTACCAAACGTGCCAGGCGCCGTACTCCCAAACTGGCTGCGCGTCGCTGAACGGATCGTGGTTTACATCCAACGGGTACGGGCAATGCTGCCCCCCCGACGCGTACTTCAACGTGTCTGGCACCAACTCGATCTGCTCGTACGCGCCGCCCAACAGCCCGAACTCGTGGAGCGTCAACGACGAAACATGCTGTCGGGCGGCCAAGGGGATTTGGTGGACGCAAGTCGACTACTATGGCAACTCGAACGGCCAGTGCTGCTTTGGCAAGATGCGACCGTATGCCGACTACCTCACGGGGGCGATCAACTACCAATGCCAGCAGGACTTTTGGGGGTGGGACAACTCGGACTGCTACGACACGTGCAACTCGTTGCAGCAGAGCTGTACACAGTGCAAACTGGATTCGTCCACCTGTCAAGGCACGGTGCACAAGCTCGCCAACAAAACCGCGTGTCTGTCCTACAGCACATGCAACCAAGGCCAATACCAACCGGTTCGTACAACTGCAAACTGTAGTTTGCCATTAGAACTCACGAATTTGTCGATTGAACTCTAGGACGAGTGCCGCAACCATGTCGGGGACGAGCCCTTCTGTGCGCAATGCTGGGGCTCGTGGTGCTACAAGCAGGGCAACCCCGCCACATGTACCTTGTACCAATGGGGCACTGACAGCTGCGCCAATGCTGGCGGGGTGTGGGACTGGCGCGACTATCGATGCCACATCAACGGCACCCAAGACACGTTGGCCGACCCATGGTCGTGCTTCTCACCCGGACCCGCCGTGTGCCCCGACCCGCACAACAACTCGCGGGCGTATGGCCCCGGCGAGCTCGTGCCGGCGTATTCATTCCGCGACAACCAGTGCGAATCGTACGTGAGATTCCTCATTGCAGTACAAGGTCGTTGGTTAGAGTGCTGATATGAGAGTTTAGGGGCTGCTACGTGCCGGCGTCGACGGCGGACAATTGCACGAGCGACAAATACTGGTCGATTCGATGGAAGCCGCAGTATGGCAATGGTTCGGGCGCGTGTGCGATTGAAACGTGGCAGATCTCAGCCGACGACTGCGCCAACGAGTTCAACGGCGTGTACGTTGGGTCGACGATCGTGTACAACGGCGGGCAGTTCAGTACCAAGGACCAGTGTGACCAAGGTACCTACCTTCCTACCTACCAACCGTCGCGTGGTGGTGATTCAAGTGGCTCACTCAACTGTTTGGTGTGGTGGTTTTATAGGAATTTGCCAGGGCGGGTTGAGCTGGGACGGGTGGTCACGAAAGCAGTGCGAGGACACGCCCAAGTTTCAGTGCAGCCAACAGTGCGAGCAGTGCTTGACGTGGAACTGGCCGTTCTACGCGCAAGACAGCGGCGGGTGCTTTAGCACGAATGCCACGTACTGCCAGGGCCTTGGGCTCAGCGATGTGCCCGTACGCGCTCGTGAAACTTTCCATATCGAGTTCTGACACGTTGCGTTAATTTTTATAGTGCTCGGTGTCGCAATATAGCTCGAAATCGGCGTGCGATGCCGACGCCGATACGTTCTGGGTCAGCTGCAGCGACTTCAACGCCACCACGTGCGTCAACGCAAGCAATCCGTACATCTCCAAGATGTCTTGTCAGTGGGGCTGGGGCCAGTGCAAGACCCAGGAGGCTTGCGAAGCTCAAGGCGAGTGCAACGACTGGGACAGCATGCGGCAGCAGTGCGGCGACGACGGCTGGGACCACGGTGACACGTGCTACGCGTCGTGGGCCGACGACGTGTTCGACTCCAATACCAACTCGTCTGTGACGCAGTGGCATAGCGCGTACTGCAGCAACTGCCAGTCTGTCGATGGCGTGTGTGTGATCGAGCGGCCCATCGAAGGGTGCCAAGCCAACATGTACGACATGTCGAGTTGCTCTAGAACTCGCGAATGGGAAGCAAGTTGCTGACACATGGTGGAATAGGTGGCACAGCTTGGGCTGTCGCGTCGACGGCGTTCACAACGAGACGGCGTGCTATGCCTTCAACGAAGATGCTGGCTGGCTCACCAAAGCCAAAACCAAGGACGCGTGCCTTGCGGTAGCGACTACATGAAAATGATGATGGATTGACCATCATGATGCTGTGTAGCTCCTGCGATGCGACGAGCCAGGGTACTATGGCGGCAACAACAAGAACCTGGAAGAGTGCACCAAGTGCGGTGGCACGGGCAAGCCGTACTACACGTGGTGGGGAGGCGTGTGGTCGCGGCCATACGTGCAAGATCTCAAGTGGATGGCCAACGGCACCCAGTTGATTCCCGTCAACCAGTACGATACTATCTTGTTTACCATTGTTTACATTTCGGATGAAATCCTATAGGTGGAAGCCAGCCATCGCAGACTACAAGGTGCAAGACCAGCTGGCACTGCCCATGGTCCGCAAGCTCGCCAACGCCAAGAAGACCCAAGCGTTGCTCAGGTACTTCCATCTTGTGATTCTTTTTCCTGTTTTGTGATGAGATTTGACATTGCCGTATGTTGTTGTATGCAGTTACAATGCGTTTTCGTCGTCGTTGGCGGTGATTGCATGTGCGTGCGGGTCGTCGAAAGCGAACGCGTCGTCATGCTTTGACCAAATCAGTGGCTCCATTGAAGGTACTTGATACAAGAACATTATGCCACGATTGTGGGTTTAAATGTCGTTCTATTGGACCCAAGGGATCACGGATGCGTTCTGCGACTCGTCGGCGCCCGTGTCGGCCGGCTGCAGCAAAGCCGTGGTGCAGAAGAACTGCAGCTCGCCGAGCGGACGGCGTCGCTTGGCCGACGGGGCGCCCGCCGCCGGGGACGACAAACTCGCCATCACGACCACGTACTACTCGGCCGGACCGTTTGCGAGCGCGCTCGAGCCGTTTTGCAACGCCACGGACCGCATGCAGCGCAACCCCCTCGCGGTGCGCAACTCCCACGGGGTGATTGTGGGCCAGCTCATGGGGGACGGCAAAGGTATTCTGGTCCCCAACACGGACATGTAAGCTGACAAAACAAATCCCCTTAGGTCTGTCTGCCACAACCACGTTTTCGTCCATCAGCATCTGCTTGGAAATGTCGCTCGACATTCGGGTCGTGGACAAGCGGTTCCCCACGTATGATGTGGCAACGCTCGTGAACGGCACGTTCTCACCGCTTTTCCTGACGTCGTTCGTGTCACTCAACGCCCAAACTATGTGCTTCTTGGCCAAACAAAGCGCCATTTACTTCCCCATCACCCGCCTCGCGGTGGCCAACCTGAACGCGATCACGTGCAGCCAATCGTGCGTGGCCTCCAACGGCATCTGCGTCTACAGCGGCGCCACCAACGCTACGTCCTGCGTGTGCAATTGCGGGTTCGATGGATCTACTCACATCGAAGTGGGCTTCATTGCCTTAACGCCTTGATCACTTTTGTAGGTATTCGGGTGTGAATTGCGAGATCGGGTGTGTGAACCAATGCTCGTCGCAAGGCACGTGTACAAACAACACGTGCGTGTGCTTCAAAGGGTTCACGGGAACCGACTGCAGCGAATACGACTGCCCCGTCGCCAATGGCAAAAAGTGCAGCGGCAACGGCATTTGCAATGCGGTAGGCTACACAACCAGTCGACTTTGTACATTTATTGGATGTTGACCTCGTAGAACGCGACGTGCATGTGCAACAACAACTTCAAAGGGGACGACTGCTCGCAAGCCAAAGTTACGCAGGCCAAGACCATCGTGTTGCCCAAGGGGTTGGCGCCCGCGTCGACGGCTCCCAAGACGTCCGCGACATCAACTAAGCCGTCGACGAGCGCCGCCGTCCCTGGCAAGGACGTGACTGCCACGACGACGACCAAGCCGGCCACGTTCCCCCCCGCCCCCATGCTCACCCCCGCGCCGCCCCTTCCAACCATTTCGTCGACTTGCGTGGCGTCAAAATGCAAAACCGACTTTGACACGTGCATGGAGACCTTTGACAGCTGCGCGTGCTTTCCGGGGCAGCTGCTTTGTGTCCAAACGAGTTGCAGCTCCGAGTACACTGGAATTCTCGCCACGTGCAAGGGGCTGGTGGCCCAAGCCACGTCGTGCGTGTTGGACTGCAGCCCCAATGCGTACCCTGTCAAGGGCGACACGACCAACGCGGTGGTGATGGCCGTCGTGGCCAACATCGCCATCCAAGGCGTGACGGCCGCGCAGTTCACCGCGGCAGTCCAGGACAAGTTCAAGCAAGCGATTGCCAGCGCCGTAGCGGGCGTCACCGCCGACAAGGTGACCATCATTAAGGTGACCGACGTCGCGGACGCCCGCCGTCGGCGCCTCCTGGATGCGGCCAAGACGCTGTCCATGACCGCGGACGGCAAAGTCAAGGCCATGCACGAAGCACGACGCCAACTCGCGGGGTCGCACCTCGAAATTGAGTTTTCCATTTCCGTGTCGTCCCCGGACGCCCTCAAGGCCACCACATCGTCGCTGCAAGGTACTAATTCTCTAGCTTACGATGGTTCTGATGGAAATCTGATCTTGGCATGTCCATGTCGTAGCGCAAAGTGGCAGCGGCGGCGGCGGCGCGGCCTCGTCCCTGGCCACAGCCCTCGTTGCGACTGGAGTCGTCACGGACGTCGCGTCCGTTCAAGTCAAGTCGGTCAAGACCAGTGTCACCGTGGCGACGCCCACCACGACCACGGCGACACCCACGCCAACCCCAACGAGTAAGCCACCTGTCCATGTCGAGTTGTGGTGCTGACTTGTCTTGATCTATCTTGTAGCCACGCCCAAACCAGCCGACAACACGACAGTGATCGCGGCGGCAGCGGGTGGTGGCGCGGCCGCGGTGATTCTACTCGTGTGTCTCGTCCGCTACTGCTACAAGAAGCGGGCCGAAAAGTCGGCGTGAGCGTCCTTGCCAACTACATATCGTACTTGTATGACATCATCGAACGATGAGTCATGGTATATTTGGGTGATTAACAATACATGCATGTATCTCTGAATCCATTTGGTTGTTCACGGTAGCTAGCGACTGGAGATCCCATGCGGTTGTCATACAAGATGAGAAACGAATGTCCATAGGACTATCACTCATGGGGTAGCCAGCCAGGATATTATCGTGTCTCGTGAGCTTGGTCGAGCAAAAATAGTTATAGTTATAAATATTTAATATTATAACGTAATTTATTCATATCTTTAGAAACTATTCAATTCTTATCAATGTAATGGCGGCATGAATGCAAGATGAGCATGAAGCATTGTATGGGGGGAATACGGAGATCAGGGTGTAAATCCCCAATGGATGGGCGTCACACGATGCATGGATGTCTATAACACATGGATCTGGTCTACCAGTGCAAACGTTGAATTTCTTGGTTATAATTGCACTTCCAATCGTATTCTACGCGTACAACGCGATGGCCGGGTCACGACCGTACAGTTGCGCCCATGACGGCGGCAAGACCAACCGAAACGACTGGATGATCGTGTGGAGCCACAGATATTGCACCACGCAGCTGGCAAAGAAGACGGCGTCCGGCACATTGTTGCCTTCCGCGCAATGGAGGAGCAAGGCCAGCGCGGGGATGGCGCGGCTGTTGCACGCATCGATGAGCTTGGGGGCGACCCCTGCACCTCGAACAGTATCCCAGATGCCATGAGCTTGGTCGACTTCGGGGTCGTTCGAGGCGGCCAAGGGTTGGAACTGATGCAAGAACGCTTCGTTTAGTAGGGTCGATTTCTCAGTGGACGTCCACTGGATGCGGCGCCTACACCCATGCATGTAAAAGATGTATCCGATGGTACGAACACATGGACGTACTGTTGCATGTTGGAGTCGTGGCGAAGCATGTTGTCCACGCCCGAGAGAACGACGACTTGGGAGGCGCGGCAAGTGGACGAGGCCCAGACAGCAAAGTCGTCGCAGAACGCTTGGACTTGGCCCTGCCGATGGATGATCCATGAGAATCTGAAGGAGTTGCTTTGGAGGGGGAGCCACGCACCGCGTTGATAGATGTGCGTTGCTGTACAAAGACAACTTTGGGCGCGGTAGGATGGCCAACGGAGGACGGATGCGAGAGCAGAAACACCTTTCACAAACGACTTTAGTCCATAAGCATGGATATAAATAATGATGTACCGCAAGGTTGAGGCAAAGGCCTGAAGACGACTGCGTGGCAAAGGCAGATGAGCCGGCCATTGGAGGCACATGCTTGGAGTACAAGTGTCCCACCAGCTTCATGTCGACCTGCACAAGGGATGAGAACGAGAGGGGCTTTGCCGTCGATTACCTCCTGGACCAGCAGTGAATTGACGAGCAGGTCCACGGTCAATTGGCCAACATTTGCAAACGAAACACCTGGCTGCACATGTATACCGGTCACTCCATTAGATCACACATCAGTAGTTTCCTGCAGACGTACCGTCAAGATCACGGCGCCTTCAAAGAGGGACCGCGCAGCTTCGTTGCCGCGGCCGTACCCTTCGCACCCGAAAAACTCCATGTTGATGTAAGACCGTATAATATTATACATCCTGTCATTTCATATCCAAGTACCTGCAAGAAAGAGTACCCTTTGAAACTTTGTTTACGAGATAATCGAATCATTTTGACCAATGAAGGTCGACGTCCCACTCAGTTCAGTTAGGTGCCAGTCGCAGCCAAAAGCAAAGGCAGAACAGATCATGCGGCCATCTTGACATGGTAACATGCTCTGATGCTCGTGGTGAAAGCGTATGAACGTGTGGCGCGAGTGCGCTTGTAATCGGGATGCCAGGTCGATACGTAGCGCGACGGTGCAATACGTGGCGAGTCGTGGAGAGGACTGGTACAAATAAGTCACCCCACCTTGTGTGTCATCGTGATGGCATACATTTTGCAAGTCTAAATTGGGGTCCCACCGAGACAAATGAACTTTGGTGAGCTACTCGTGACTTGACAAGTTGTTACCTCAAAATGTTGGTCCCACGGTGGTGGCAGCAACAACGCGTTAGGGGATGGGAGAAACCTTCGAAATCAAAGGGTTTAACGTGTAATATTTGATAAAACACACGAAACTCATTCGGTAATACACCTGATCAGGTGAAAATCCCATTGCGTCCGGCCAAGTCGCAGCGATAGGCAACAAGCAGGCAGGCAGGTCACAACAGCATGAGCACGCCATGGACGCGACCACCAAGGCCTCCTAATGCGACGTCGTGGCAAAGGAAGGCTGACGTTGGCGACGACGAATGGGTTGGGATCACATGGGCGGTTCGAATAACAAGGTGCGTCGGTGCACTGTTCTAGCTACGGCTGTTGCGTTCATGCATGATGTCGTGACGACCACCACTACGGTAGTGTGCTGTCGGCGATCGGATGCGTGTTCATCTTGTACCGATACATCATTCGACGAAAGGCGGAGCGCGATATCACGACGATCCTTGTCACTGCGTTGGCTGCGTTCGAGCTCATGATAGCCGTCGCCAAGTTTCCCGCCTTGAGCTTCCTCGAGTTCAAGCGGAACCGCGACATGCCGGGTCATTTCCTCAATTCCAACAGGCCCATGTGCCAGATCCAGGCGTACGTGCTGGATGTGTTCATGCTTCAAGGTACGACGACTTCTCGTTGATCGACCGGTGACCGATTGGTGCTTTGTCCTGTAGCGGTGCTATGGAACGGGTACTTGGCGTTCAACCTGCTTCGCGTGGTGGTGTACCGCGACAGCAACAAGGCGTTGATGGGTCGGTTCTGGAAGTACTTTTTCTGCACGACCATGTTCACGGTGCTGTGGGGTCTCTCGGCGGCGCTCCCGATCTGGCCCGACGACCGCAACCGCCTCGACTCGCTCTTCGGATACGCCAAGTTCTTTTGCTGGATCCAAGAGACGCGATATATCGCCATCCGGTTCATCCCGTTCGTGGTCGCCACGCTCTTGTTCATTGTCGCCGTGACCATCAAGGTGCGGCGCGTCGTGCTCGCCCGCGCCAAGCAGTACGCGCTTCTCATCATCACATTCCTGCTTGGGAATATCCGTCACCATTATCATGTTGTAGCGCTCGGTCCGTGGGCGTCATGGCCGACGACGACGACGCCGTGACTCAAATTCAGCGCCGACTCATGTTGTATGTGCTGTCGTTCTTGGTCTTGTACACACCCATCACTGTGTTTCGACGTACGTACAATTTATATATATTGCGGAATACATATATATATGTATGTATAATGTTATATATATATTGCAGAATATATATATATATATGTATATATATATATATATATATGTATGTATGTATGTATAATGTTATATATATATTGCGGAATATATATATATATATATATATATGTATGTATGTATAATGTTATATATATATTGCGGAATATATATATATATATATAGCGGAATATATATATATGTATGTATAATGTTATATATATATTGCGGAATATATATATATATACATATGTATGTATGTATAATGTTATATATATATTGCGGTATATATATATGTATAATGTTATATATATATTCTCTGTCTCTGGGGATTCGTGCAATTATTATTTATTAAAATAATCCTTGTTGTAGTGATTGCAGCTTTCCAAGGAGATACCAAAGACTCGCGGAACCGGTCCAAGATTGCCGAAGGCACCATGCCCGAGTTTGGGATTGTCGCCCAAGCCCTCGTGAACCTGCAAGGTTGGTTGCCCCACGTCCTCTCTACTACTAGTACATAGTATTACTACTACTATTACCCCTACTACTACTATTACTCGTGTGTTATACATATTGGACTCATGTCTGTGTATTTGCAGGATTTGTCAATGCCATCATTTACGGAGGCTTTCTCACGTCGGCGTCGTCGGGGGAGCGGAGGCAGTCGCTGTCGTCGTCGCTTCCGCCCAGCGTCTACTTGGAAGATATCCGGTCCCATGCCTCGGGGTACTATGCGCATGGCGTCAATAGCGGCGACTGCATGACGATCTTTGCGTCGACGTTCAACATGGCGGAAGGCGCGGTGCCCCCCCCAGATCAGTTGGACCAGTGGATCCCCAAGGGCCACGATATTTATGTGATTGGGGTCCAAGAGTGTATAGACCTCCGCACGATGCGCCACGTCATGGCCAGTCACTTGCAACGCATCAATGGAAAAACGTACATCGAGTACGGCCGAGAAATCGGACGCACGGAAACGCTGCTGGGGTACCATGGCTTCATTGCCATCACGGTGTACGTGGCTGCAGACGACGTCCACGCTGGCCATTTTCACATGCATTTGGACGCCACGTCCAAGGTACCAAGCGTTATTGGGCTTGATGGGATGAGGACATTTGAGATAGGTGAACCGGGGAAAGAATTTGATTGGTCTCGGGCGCGCGTCCAACAAAGGTGCCGTCGGGTTTGCGTTTCGATACTTCAACGTGACGTTTGCCGTGCTCACGTGTCACTTGGCGTCCGACTCGACGGTGCACTTTGCCCTTTAACAAGTTAGTACTAAATCAGTTTTGTATTGGGTAGGGCAAGAGCAAGATCAAGAAGAGACACCACGACGGAGCCAGTATCCTCACCAACATGCATCTGCAGTCGATCGAGAACGAGTTCGACTGCCACTTGATGGCCCACCATACCATCTTCATGGGCGACCTCAACTACCGCCTCACGGCGCTGGACGCCACGCCCGACCGCATCCTTCACATGATCACAGATGTCGTCAACAACAACTTCCGCACGACCTCGTACAAGCGAGGCCAGGTGTTCTCGCACAACCAGCTACTGACACCCGGTACTTCCTGTACATATTACATACACACACAATTCAGACCATATCTGGTCCTCATCGTGTGTCGTAGTGCGTTCGGAAGGGTCCCCCGCCCCGATCGCCGACGCGTTTTCAAATGACATGGACGACACGTACATGTTGACGCAGTCGCCGTCGGCCCTTGAAGCTGCCGCCGCCGCCGCTTCGACGTCCTCTCTGCCTAGTCGCCACCATCGACACCATCACGTGGCTGTGCTGTCGCCGCTCTCGAGTGTGTCCACCGCCCCCAGTGCCGTCGAAGTGTCTTGGCGCTCTCTACTAGAACACGACGAGTTGAAGGCAAGTATGGACGACGGCACGATCTTCCACGACTTTGACGAAGCGTCCATCGCGTTCCCGCCGACGTATCGCCGCGTGTTGGGGCAGGCGCTGGACGCGCGGTGGACGGCATCCCCCCTCACCCCTGCCCGCGTCGCCAGCGTGTACACGACGGTGCTCGGCGACGGCCGAATCCGCGTACCTTCGTACACGGACCGCATCCTGTTTCACTCGCTGCCGGGGCTCCGGGTATGACCAACCGCCGACGACATCATCTTATGTCGTCCATCTTGCTCTCTTGGTGGGTCAATCGGTTGATTATGTGGGGATATGTAGGACCGATTTGCATGTGTCCAATACAGTAGCGCCGAGTTTATCGGCACGTCCGACCACAAGCCCGTGTCGTGTGGGTTCCAAGTGTACATCGACAAGACGCGCCAGTCGTCGTGTACCCACCCGGCCGCCGTCCCCTCGTCGGCATCCCATGACGTGGCCCCAACCGGCATTGGCGGCGGCCCCGCCCCTCTTACGACCCACATGACTATGTACTTGTCGAGCTTGACCATCCATTTGGGCCCGGCGTTGGAAAAGTTCAACACATCCGACGGCGAAGAATGCGACAGCAGCGACATCATGTGCGCGACCCCCGCGCCAAGACTTCCCACGGGGTCGATCGCGTCGAGCGATGTGTCGGGCGCGTCCATCTCGACGGCGAGCGACGTGGCAAAGTCCGTCGGCATGTCCATCGGTACGACGACACTTGTGATCATGGTGGAGAGAGATGAATGGATGGATGGATGGTTCACGATGATGGAATGAGTAGACGGCATGCAAGTCCGAAGCGTGTTTCCACTGCCATGCGAAGACGAGTTTGCCGAAGAGAGGAAGCTCGGGGAGCTGGCCGACCAACTCGTGTTCAATGCCAACAAACAGCGCAAGTTCAAGTCCACGACCAAGCACTCGGCGTGGGCGTCGGTGGCGGTCCACGGGCTCAAGCAGTCGGTGGTGCTCGCTCCGAGGAAGCTCCTCCACGTGGCCCTCAACTTCATCTTGCCATCAGGCACGACCGTCGGGCAGTGCGTGATCAGCTTGACCGAAGCGAGCTACCGAAACGGCCGAAAAGTAGACTTCGTAGCGGCATTAACCGTGGGGGGGCGGCGGACGGGCGAATTGCTGGGAAAGGTTAGTTTGAGTGTTCAGAAGCGCTAGGTAGGTAGGTAGGTAGGTAGGGGTATAGACATGCCGTCATGAATGGAATGTGTTTGAATGTGTGTCGTCGACATGTGCGTGGCAAGCGTGTGGTGATGGCGGACCAAGGCACACACGAACGTAGTGTTATACACGTAGACGAGTCCACATGCTCGTAGCGGAGGTGGGTGGGGCTTGTCTAGAGATAGATTTCATGCAAAAGGAATCAACGTGACCTAGTGGAGTTCATGCTACGGAGGGACGACTGAGTGCATAGACATGACGCCCCATACTGCGTGCGCTCATGCTGTACACCAACAACAGTCCCAGGAAGTCCTGCATCCTCCTGAACCAGAGGAGCAAGCTATGTTGCGTTGGTTCTCCGCTCGTGTTACGAATTACGCTCCGTGTGTATTTCCCACTTGGAAAAGCCAAGTGTGTCGCGACTACTGCATGTAATAAATATGAAGTATTTATTTAAATATTTGACTTGTCTAATTGGTACCAGTATGCGATTATATTGAATTTCGTTATTATATCCGCATGTTATATTTCTTCGTGCAGATCAAAGACAAATACGGCAGATTGGTCAAACCATCCTTGGTGGTATGGGAAGTACAAGTTGAACGTGTAAATCCCACTTCAACCGTGAGGCAAGTGCGCGCATCTGAACTGAAGGCAGGCATATCTGTTTTTCAGGTCGTTCCGTGCATTACACAAGAGGATGAGCGGCAAACGAGCATGGCAGCAGAAGTTCGGTGTCGGCGAAACTGAGCGCTTGGCCATCGATTGGTCCGTCCGAAGCACCAGGTAGGAGGTCCATGAACCGAACGCATGGATGTCATCCCCTGCCTGTAGCATCCTGTCGACACTCGGGTGCGCCTACATCCTCGTGCGATGCACTTTCTTCCAATCCAACAGACGAGATGTATCCCGTCTCCTCGTGATGACTCTTGCTGCAATCCAACTTGTCGTGTCCGTTGTCAAGCTCCCTGCCCTCCAGTTCGCGTCGCTGCAGAAGCGCTTTAAGAGGGGCGACAGCGACGGCATGTTGCGTCCGTACTTTCTCGTGAATGCAACGGCCGACGACTCGTCAACCAGTTCTGCTGTATTCTGCCAAATACAGGCCTACCTTCTGGACGTGTTCATGCTCCAAGGTATATTATTCTTATCTGGACATATCCAACCTTCTCCCCTTTTCATCTCACCTTCTTTATCATGTCGTGTAGCGGTGCTGTGGAATGCATGCATGGCGTACAACCTCCTTCGATGGGTCGTCTATCGAGACTCGGAAGAAAAGCTTCAGTCGCGGTTCTGGGTGTACTTCTTCGGCACGTCGGTGTTTTGCGTTGTGTGGGGGTTCACAGGGGCGCTGCCCGTGTGGTCATACCAGAACAACCCCCAGGTGTCGTCGCTCTTTGGGTTTTCCCGCTTCTACTGCTGGATGAAGTTCCCAGACTACATCCTCTACCGCTTCGTGCCGTTCGTGGTGCTGACGCTGCTGTTCATGGTGGCCGTCGTGATCAAAGTACGCAAAGTGGTCGCGGTCCGCGCGAGGCGGTGCGTGAAGGACAGTCTCCATAGACTCGTTTATTCTTACATTAATTCGATATCTTGCATTAGGTTGTCCATGACGCCATCGGTGGCAGACCCCGTTGCGACCAAAATTCAACGCACGCTTCTCTACTACGTCGTGGGATTTCTCTGCTTGTACACGTTGCCCACCGCCTATCGCTGTAAGTGAAATATCACCGTAAACACGCACGTCCAAGGATGTAAATGGCGTTTGTGTCGACCGTAGTCTTAGAGGCCGCGATGGAAAACAAGGATGAGGCCACATCCAACGGCTGGAGTCGAGGTGGCAGTGGGAACGGCAGTAGCAAAAGCCCAAATTCTGAATGGACTCGTAATGCAACCGCGCATTCACAAGGCGGAGAGCACAGCACGTTCATGCAAGTGTTTGCCGTTGTGTCGGAAGTCCTTGTCAACCTGCAAGGTCTTTTCATTCAAATCACATTACAATATGACTGGATTATGGGTAGGGTTTGTTATTGCCGTAATCTTCCACCGGTGTTCGGTGTCACGGAGATGCAAATCCCAATCGAGCAGCTCTGGGGAAGGGTCGTCGTTAGAGCCAGACGCATGTATGGATGATGCCCGGTCCTGTGCGTCAAAGAGTGAAGCTGTGTATATGTGCGGAGCTTCTGGTCGCATCTTTGCGTCGACGTTCAACATGGCGGAAGGCGCGGTGCCCCCCCCAGAGCAACTAGAACGGTGGATCCCCAAGGGTCACGATATTTATGTGATTGGGGTCCAAGAGTGTATAGACCTCCGCACGATGCGCCACGTCATGGCCAGTCACTTGCAACGCATCAATGGAAAAACGTACATCGAGTACGGCCGAGAAATCGGACGCACGGAAACGCTGCTGGGGTACCATGGCTTCATTGCCATCACTGTGTACGTGGCTGCAGACGACGTCCACGCTGGCCATTTTCACATGCATTTGGACGCCACGTCCAAGGTACCAAGCGTTATTGGGCTTGATGGGATGAGGACATTTGAGATAGGTGAACCGGGGAAAGAATTTGATTGGTCTCGGGCGCGCGTCCAACAAAGGTGCCGTCGGGTTTGCGTTTCGATACTTCAACGTGACGTTTGCCGTGCTCACGTGTCACTTGGCGTCCGACTCGACGGTGCACTTTGCCCTTCAACAAGTTAGTTCTAAATCAGTCTTGTATTGGGTAGGGCAAGAGCAAGATCAAGAAGAGACACCACGATGGAGCCAGTATCCTCACCAACATGCATCTGCAGTCGATCGAGAACGAGTTCGACTGCCACTTGATGGCCCACCATACCATCTTCATGGGCGACCTCAACTACCGCCTCACGGCGCTGGACGCGACGCCCGACCGCATCCTCCACATGATTACAGATGTGATCAACACTTCCCGTCGAAGGCACGAGTCGAAGCGGGTAGACGTGTGTCGCGATATGTTTCTTGCGTCCAGCCCAAGTTCGAGCCAATATTCGATGAGTGTCCCGGGGAATCCTGAGCTTAAGGATTATGCGTCCGAGGTATCCAGTGGGGACACTGACGTGTATTTGTTGACGGAGTCTCCATCGGCGGTGCTGGGCAACGGATTCAGTATGGAGCGTGCAGCAGCAGCCCGAGGTGTCATGACTCCACATCATCTCGGCCATCCGAATGTCGAGAGTCCGTATTCGATGGCATCATCTTCGGCGTTCAGCCCCGTTTTGCAGTCGTGGCAATCGTTGTTCCTGCACGACGAACTCAAGCAAAGCATGGCTGACGGCGTGATCCTGTCTGACTTTGAAGAAGCCAAGATTGCGTTTCCGCCAACCTACCGCCGAGTGCTGGATCAGATGCTGGACGTTCGCCAGCCGACGACTGTCGCGCAAGTGGCTGCCCTGTACACGACCGTGCTAGGGGAAGGCAGAGTCCGCGTGCCGTCGTACACGGATCGGATTTTGTTTCACTCGTTGCCTGGCCTGCGGGTATGCGGTCGATTCAAAATATTGTCCATACCTGAATATGCGTTGTAGGACCGGTTTACATGCGTTCAATACACGAGTGCCGAGTACATTGGCACGTCCGACCACAAGCCCGTGTCGTGTGTGTTTGACGTGTTGGTCGACAAGGCGGCGGCGGTTGTTTCCCCCCGTCCAGTGCCGCGCCGGTTGCTGGCCGGTGGTCACCCCCCTCACAACGTTGTCTACGGGGTGCAGTTGACCCAATTGAACGTGCGGTGGGGGCCAACGCTGGAAGATTTTGAAACGTCCGACGAAAGCGACGGCGGCAACTTGTCCAACAAATGTGCCCAAGATTCGTTTTCGAGCGATTTGTCCCAAGCCACCACCGCTTCTGGCACGATCCAGCCCGGCATGATATTTGGTACGTTCAACTCCATCGACTTACACCATACATTTTTGATGGGACTTTTACCCAGAACTAATTTAAATATTAATAATAGAAGGGCTGCGCGTCCGAAGTGTGTTTCCTTTGCCGTGTGAAGACCCGTTTGCAGAAGAGCGCAAGTTGGTGGAAGTGGCAGACAACCTCCTCTTTTCGTCAGGACAAGGCACTGGCACAACACTCAAACCGACGTGGAAACTGAATGCGTGGCCGGCGTTGCTCCAGCATGGACTGAGGCACTCCGCGGTGCTGCCGCTCCGAAAGCCGTTGCATCTGGCAATGAATTTCATCCTTCCGTCGGGAACCACAGCCGGCCAATGCGTCGTGAGTTTGACCCAAGCCAGCCACCGCCCGAGCCGGAAACTCGACTTTGTCGCGACGATCTCGGTCGGAGGGAGGCGGACGGGGGAGCTCACAGGCAAAGCGACATTAAGCATCGACATGGCGCCGTAGAAACCTCGGCGTAATTAATTTATAAATCTAGCGCCCCCTCGATCACGTGATACCTGCACCGCCGTGAAGACATTCGTCAAAATATCCTGCTACGACAGAGGACGACTTTCCCGACGACACTATGATGGACTACATCGGAGTCCACCTCCGCATGAAAGCTCATGGCCCTGTTCATAAATTTCCCCAGTACTTGCATGAACTTTCACCCTTGCAATTAATGATATACACTTAACTTTTTTTAGCAGATTTATCCGGGAATTTATTAATATCTCATGGGCGGGATTTTTACTACGTAGTACTACGAAGTACTTACTACCTCTGGTAGACTGGGAAAAACTCGGTGGCTCCAATCGATTGATTTTACATACTCTTATTGTCTTTTTACCCAAAATTTGGACTTTTGTGCTGATTCGCCAAATCTATCGATCGATTCTTTGTAACGTTACCGAGTTTTGTATTCCATTCACACACAAGTTCGATGTTGAATTGGGCGAACAGTGGAATTGATTGGCTACTTGATTCCTGTTGTGGGTTTTGATTGGTCGATCGATTGTCTGCCGATTTGGTGGTCAGAATCGGTGTCGTCCCTCATGTCGTACTGGGAGGGCATATTTTGGACATCCATACAGTCAACTGGGCCCTGATCGTGTACTTGACTGATAGTGCCGGCGTGCACTTTCTGTGTGTAATCGACATCATACTGTACAGTATCATGGTTTCGAGTCGTGGAATACCACTACCGAATACAAAAAAAAGGCAATTCAACACCGCATTACCGGATGCGGCAAATGAGGCAGACTTGGTCATAACAACCCCCAGTATGTTTGTGCATTTTTGAAAGATTTATTTTGAACGTGAAATATGATTTATGCATCGAATTTTGGTCTTGACTCGCAGTCATTTACTACGTAGTACTACTTAGTATTGTTAATGTTAATTGTTAATGTTAATGTTAATACAATGAACAAGATATGCATATTCCATTAACAACATATTTCATTATCCACATGGAGATCAAAATAATACGGTTAAACCCCTTGACGCGTGCATCTTTCTGCACCACAGCGGCATTCAAAGTTCGATGCATCAAAGGTATTCCACCAGTTGTAATCAAACGTGAGTTCTTCAAAGCGGCCAACTTCCTTCAACGCGTACAAGGCAGCTCGCTTGATGCCGCATTTCTTCCATACTTCGATAACACAGTTGGGTTGACACGAGTGGTTGATGAACCGGGAACTGTTCGAGTACAGGCGACCGTCAATGAAGTAGTCGTCCCGAATACTGAGGAAGTAAAAGTCCCGCTTGCCATCAACGGTATCTTGAGTGAGCCGCTTCTTGAACTCATCGCCACGAATGACCTCACCCATGTACTCCATCACAAAGGCACCCAACGGAATCACCTCGGACGCCTTCACTCCCAGACCGGTACGCTGGGTCACAAACACTTCGTGTGGCGCTTCAGCGTTGTGTTTGTCAAATCGTTGGTTGGCACAGCGGTGGCGCGAAGTACAATCCGGTGGACAGACAACGTATTCCGAGGAGTTGGCACATGCGAGCGTATCGCATAACATTCCTTGCGCGCCAGCATTAATTAGCCAGCACTTGCACTGCCGCGTGATGGGGGACCGAGGGAGCTCCGCAAGATTGGGATAGGGATCGTAACCAAGTCGCAGTCGTTCAATACGAGTGTCGCCCTTGGAGAGTTTCGATGTGACTCGTTTAAATGATTTCATGGCGTGCGCCACGATTGCTTGGTCCTCGGCGGTCGGCTCATTTGACAGGTCAATGAGTCCCGGAGGGGCTTCCTGGGTAGGTTGGTTTGACGATGCCCCTGTGCTCGGTTGTAATCGAGCTCCTTGATTGCGTTGTTCGGACTGCATGGTCACGGGGGACGTGTAACTGGGTGCATGGGATGCAGATGGGTCGCTAGCACCGAGTTGTACGGACGAACCAGCATCCTTTGACTGTGTGGAGGGGTGGGGGTAAGCATAACCGGGTGGCGTGGTAAGGACCTTAGGAGCGGGTTGGATGATCGCGCGTGGCTCTGGTGCTTCATTTCCTTCCGTGGTTGTTGTAGCCACTACAGTTGTTGTCACGGTAGGCCCAGTTGCTGTAGCCTTTGTCGTCGTCGTTGGTGTCATGGTGCTGGTGACCACGGCAGCCTCAGCGCTTGGGGAAGTCACACGAAACTTGACATGGTTTTGAAGTCCTTGGCGGCGGACAAGAGCTCGGATGTAACTCCTTTGAGCTTGAATGGACTTTAGTCGGTACACTGGGATCTGGAGGCACCTTTCTTCGATTGCTTCCATGTCCAAGCTCTGATGGGGCTGG